AAAATACAATAGTCATCAATTTCTCCCAAGCTAGAAGCAAGCAAAACTAATATCATCATCGGCCTTGGTGTCATCACTTTTACTTCATTTGTTTTTTGAAAGTAACAAAGAACAAGAAAATAAAAAATGAAAGAGTGAAAGAGACATTCCCCCCAAACTTAAACAGAAACATTGCCCTCAATGTTGTGATAAAAAATGTGGAAGCGCAGAGGACATACATGGGCGAGGGCCGTTGATTAGTGCATAATTTATGCACTCATTTGTTACTCCTTTAGCTAGTATCGACGTGTTTTTCCTCAAGTTCTTATGTGGATTTGATTATTATCCCTTGAGTTGTAGGAATGGGTGAAATCACTAAGTTTTGAGGCATTTTGGATAAAAAAGACAGAGAATAAGGCGATACGGCGCCTACAGATGGCGACGCGGCATGAAAAGTAGAAAAATGGAGCAAACCTATATGAAGGAACAGTGAGAGATGTAATATGTCACCTATTATGGGCAATATGTCCCCTGAGTTACCAGATTTTATTAGAAACACGCGTTTTACCCTAGTCTGGTGCGTATATTTTTATGGAAAGTTAGAATTGGCTTTGGAGAGATGTCTTTCAACAGCACTCTTTAAAGGGGATGTCAGGGTGGAGTTTGGTGCACGTGAAGTTGATTTGATTGATAGTGTCTGTGATCTAGAGGCACTACTGGAGGAGAAGGTTAATCTGAAGGAAGAAGATGTACTTAAGGTGCCCACACTTTATAAAGGCTCAGAATTGAAAGCCACCATTAGTAACAGGCTAGTTTTAAAGTAACTACCTGACCATCTTTGCTACACATTCTTGGGAGATGACTCCACTATGCTAGTCATCATATCGGCATCTTCGAGCGAGGAGGACGAGTGGAAGTTGATCAACGTGCTAAAAAAGTACTCATCCATTTTTGCTTGGTCAATTTCTGACATTAAGGGTATTAGTCCGGCCATTTTTATGCACAAGATCCTCATGGACGACTCCTACAAGCCTTTTATTGAACACCAACGGCGACTTAATTCCGTAATGAAGGAGGTTGTGAGAGCGGAGGTGTTGAAGCTATTAAATGCCGGTATTATATATGCCATTTCTGATAGCTCAAAGGTGAGTCTGGTGCAAGTGCTGCCAAAGAAGGATGGCATGATGGCAATAAAGAATGAGAAAAATGAGCTCATTCCAACTTGCACAATAACAGGGTGGCGAGTGTGTATTGATTATAAGAAGCTCAACTTTGATTTGAAGGCCTCGGGAGAGAAAAAACTCCTTCAACTCAATGAATTGGAGGAGATTCGTAATGATGCATATGAGAATGTGAGGATTTACAAGGAGCGCACAAAGCAATGGCATGACAAGAGGATCCTTCGCTGTGACTTCATTCTAGGAGAGAAGGTACTTCTATTCAACTCTCACCTTAAACTTTTTCCCGGAAAGCTCAAATCTTAGTGGTCCGGTCCATTCACGATTACGCAAGTCTTTCCATTCTGCACTGTTGAGATAAAAAGAGGAGATGAACTTGCCTTCAAAGTGAACGAACAACGCCTTAAACACTATTTTAGAGGCGAGGTGGAGAAGATTGCAAGTCTCAAGCTCATCGAGGACATTTAAAGCATGAGGTACTATGTCTAGCTAAGGACTTTAAATGTAGCACTTCATGGGAGGGAACACACATATGATTTTTCATTGATTCTGTGTCAAATGGGTTTCATTGTAAAAAAAAAAAAAAAAGAAGAAGAAGCAAAATAGGAGAGGGGGATAGAACGTCAGGTGATATGTCACCTGTCAATTGGCAATATATCACCTGAAGGATTTCAATAACCATATCAGTCTCCGGGAACCTCATATGGCGAACCCAACGGTGGAATTGATGATGCTAGAGTAAGTATGGCCGATAACACTTAGACCGGCCGTGAGGTATTGTTTTCTTTCCTCTTCCCTTTGAGTCTTTACGACGAACAATGGGGACATTATTCCTTTTAAGTTTGGGAGGGAATATCATTTTCTTTTCTTTTTTTATCCAATCTACCTTTTGATGTTCTTTTTGTAGGGTAGTTAGGTTTCAATTTATTTTGAGATTTTGATGTTTTATTTATCTTGGCATTTGTACCGAACTGAGTGTTGTATTACATATGACTTTGGGCTTCGATGATGACTTCATGCTAAGCTCTCTTCTTTCATTCGGTATATGTCTTTATATCTTTGACTGTGTGCTTGATCTATCATGCTTGCTTTTGATGTTGTTATCTCTATTTCTGAGCACATGTCTATTTGCTTTTCCTTATACATTGTGTGGCTTTGTGTACAATTTTAAGACTTTATCGCAATGAGAATGCTAGAACTTACCCGAAGGACTTGTCGAGGCAAAATCCTAGGTCTTTGTTGTGTGGATAGGATAGAGGCCCTCTTTCGACCGTTTGAGCCAAAAAGCCAACCCGAGCAACATGTTATCCATAAAGTTCCTCTTTGAGCCAAAAAAAAGTTGGATTCATTTGTTTTGCCGCCTGAGAAGCTGAGCCTTGCAATGTATCATACATTATCTTCACCCACTCACCATGGCATCACATGTGATTCCCTCACCGAGCGTCGAATGCATGGCCAGTGAGATTTGTTTAGTGAGGAGTTTCTGAGACCATCCTTCATCCTTTACATTCATCCCTCACCATTCTAAATGCCAATTTGATTTCGTAAAAAAAAAAAAAGAAGTAAAAAAAAAGATAAATATATATAATATAAAAAAGATTTTAAGTTTAGGGATGGATCATAGTGGGGGATTGTGTTTGTCGACGCTACAGTCGAGGGTGTAGCGGTGAATCTAGAACTAAAGGGCGTTGGTGTTTGTTCGGTGAACGGAGGAGTCTATTATTGCCACCGTGCTTGTCTAGGGTGAGTTTGCTTTTCTTTTTCCAATTCTCATCTATCCTTAACCCTAGCGTAACGATACAAGCCGAGTAAAGTCCTCTTGATCTCTATGACATTTGACCTACATTAGTGGAGATGAGTCAGACGGGTGAGCCTATGGTGGTTCTGCTTTTCATGTTTATCTTGCGATTTGTCTTGATTCACAAAAGTCACATTTGTGTTTAGGTTTTGTAGAGATGATTTGCACACACTTACATGGAGATGACAGTGTTAGAAGTTGAGTATTGGTGGGTTAAAATTCTAGTCCTTTTCCAGATTCACATGTTAGGTGGGTGTAGAGGTGTTTGGTAATTTGAGATTATATGCCTGAGGTCTACGTTTACACTCTTAGTCAGTTCATTTCTTTTTCTTTTGTTTTGTTTTTAGTACATTATTTTTGGTTGTGTCGTTTTGTGTTCATTTGTCCATTTCCCATTTTGTGTTTTGTTTTATGTTAGGGTTTTATGCTTGAGGACAAGCAGCCATTCAAGTTTGGGGGTGTGATGAGTGCGTAATTTATGCACTCATTCATTACTCCTTTAGCTAGTTTCGGCGTGTTTTTCCTGAAATTTTTATGTGGATTTGATGATTATCCCTTGAGTGTGTAGGAATGGGTGAAATCGCTGAGTTTTTAGGCATGTTGGATCAAAAAGACAAAAAATGAGGTGATACGGCGCCTACAGATGGAGACGCGGTGCGAAAAGGAACAAAATCGAGCAAACCTGTATGAAGGAACAGCGAGAGACGTGATATGTTGCCTATTCTAGGCGATATGTCGCCTGTGTTATCTGATTATATTAGAAACACGCATTTTTTCGTACTCTGGTGCGCGGATTTTTATGGAAAGTCATAATTGGCTTCTTGGGGACGTGCTAGATGTGGAATATAAGGGAAGTGATCGAAAACTGAAAGGAGGAGAGAGGAAAAGAAAACAAAATTGCAAAGGAAGAAAAACAAAAATTGTAGAGGATTCCAAAGGAAAATTGGAGCGGTTCTTCAAGATTTCCAAGCATTCATCGTTCTCTTCTTCTCTTTCTTCTTGTATTTTTCTAGATTTTGGATATTATTTTGAGATTGTGAACTACATGATGTGTGGCTAATTTTCTTAATTGTTAGGGTTTTGATGAATCTCTATTTGTGATTATTGTTTCTACGTTTTATTGTGCATTTAATTAAAGTTCTTCATTTCTTTCGTGTTCTATTTTAATTTGTTGCTGCCAAATTTATGATTTATATATTGCTATACTTTGTGAGATTGTGAATTAGGCAGATTTAGATTGTGAGGATTAATACTCGAGAGGGGAACTTTCAAGCAATCAAGAAATGGGTAGAACAACTTAGGTTGGTGTGAGGTCGAGAGATAAACATTACCTAGGTAGCCGAAACAATATTAGGTTGTGAAATTGAGAAGTGGAATTCCAGGAATTGTTTCTAGAGTGGAACTTAATAAAGGTAGGGGTGAATAGTTGTATAGAGATATAGGCTTGATATCACCTACACATTCTTTATGCGGCACTCGAGAGAGGGTATAAGGATACCCAACACTCTAGGTTCTTGAGAACATTGAGCTAGGTTAGGCACATTACTACAGAGAAACATAATCGTAATAGAGTGAAGTCGAGACCCTAACATTGCCATCATATTGATTTTCCGTTTTAATTTATGCGCGTGTTATTCATTACTGTTATCTTTTCTTTTAATTTATGTTTCCTTTATTTTAGTTTTGTTTGAGTTTATCACATTCAAATTTGATCGCTTAGATAAAGTTAAGATATGATATTTGCAATAGTTAGTTTATATTCTTAACGTCAATCCTCATCGGATGATATCAGTCTTCGGACCACTTTATTACTGGTACGACTTGTGCACTTGCAAGCATAGTCAAAGCTTTTGCAACAGCCGTATTAGGTGCCCTCGCCATTATCATCATTGTGATCGGCAGCTGGTGGGTAATGAGTAAATATTATTGGCACCGGGGATAGCCAAGGGTTAGGGAATTCTTTTTCTATCTTCAAACTTGGGCATTCTTCCTTGGCAGTACTGTGATGCAATTGCTACATTCTCATTGCTAGCTTTACTCGGTTCCTACTTTGGAACCTTGACAGAGTTCTTTTCACACATTGTCTTCTTTATGTTATCCATCCGGCAACAAGTCTCAGATTCCCGTGGACCCTTGAGTAGACTGAACACATTGAAAGTTACTTTCTCATTTTCAACTTCTAGACTCAATTCTCCTTTCAAAACATTAATCACAGCATTTCCAGTAACTAAGAATGGTCGTCCTAAGATCAAAGGAATATCTTGGTCTTCTTCCATATCAAGCACAATGAAATTAGCCGGGAATATCAATTTGTCCACTTTTACTGACACGTCTTCTAAAATGCCCCATGAATACTTGATCGAATGATCTGCCATTTGGAATAGCACAGTTGTGACCTTTGGTTCTCCTAAGCCCAATCTCTGAAAGACTGACAATGGCATTAGGTTTACACTTTCTCTAAGGTCAATGAATGGTAAAACTACCCCGATCTTTTAACTTTGGTGCAACTTCCTTTGAATGATGGCTCTACACTCCTCAGTCAATGTGACTATTTCAAAATTCTCCAACGTCCTCTTTTTAGAGAGGATGTCCATCATAAACTTCATGTAAGTTGGCATTTGAGCCAAGGCCTCCGCAAATGGAATGTTGATGTGGAGCTTTTTGAATACCTCTAAAAACTTAGCAAACTGGTGATTCATATTCTTGTTCTTTAACTGTTGAGGGAACGGAATTCATGGCTTGTACTATTCTATCGGCAACTCCTGCTTTTCAATCTCCTCCTCTACATTCCCACTTGCATCTGTATCGTCAGTCAGTTGCTTTTTTTTTTATTACTCGACCTCACTAGTGGATCTTGTAGTTGCAAACCACTCCTTGTAAAAATAGCCTTGTATTGACCTTTAGGATTAGGAATGGTATCACTTGGAAGAGAACATTGTTGCCTTGATGAACTAGAACTTGCCAATTGACCCATTTGCACCTCTAAGTTTCAGATCGCTGTCGCTTGACTACTCAACAAGGTGTCTGTCCTAGTCATGTATTGCTTAGTCTTAGCCATGTATTGCTTAGTCTCATCCATGTATTGTTTAGTAGTCATCATGAACTGAAAAAACATCTCTTCTAACGAACTCTTCTTTTCTTGTTGCACAAACACATGAGGTGGATTCAAGACATTTTGAGTGTTCCTGTAGGAGAAATTTGGATGATTCCTAGAAATGGGGTGATAGGTGTTTGAATAGGGTTTCCATTGTTCCCTATTGTAGTTTCCCATGTAATTAACTTGCTCCGCCACATACAAACAACTCCCATGATTGGCTCCACAATATTCACAACGTGTTGAAATATGCACCGAATTAACTTCCCTAGTATCCAGCTTCCCTAGTATCAACCTCCGAGGTTATTGGTACTAAATCTTGAATGATGCATATAACATATTTGTTGATATTCATATTGTGCTAGGAAACTTTAGGCCTTCAGACGGGATTCCATATAACTAGATCTAGAGTTCGATTCGTCGAGAGACATTTCTAGAGAGCAATGCTTGTCAAACAGCGAGTCTGATAAGTTGATTTTTCATCAATTTAACCCTGTCATATATTATAGTTTTTGAGCATATTTCAGTTAATTTGTCACTAGTTTTACGTTTATGTTAATTTATTTTGTAGGATTTGCCAAGTGGAGAAAATCAAGTGAAAAAGATAAAGAAGTCCATGAAAATCTTCATTTTGTGAGGGCTGCAGCGCATGAGAAGCAAGCTATAGCCTGAGACTTCCAGAGAAAGAGCATTCCAGAGAGCACTCGAGCTTCAGGCTGCAGCGCCCCAAAGGGCGTTGCAGCGCGCCTGCCAGCCAGCGTTGCGCGCTTAGGCGCAGTTCAAGGCGCGCTTAGGCGCGCCTCCCAGAATCTGCCAGGGAATTGAGGCACGCGCTGTAGCGCACATCCGTGGGCTTAGGCGCGCGTCTGGAAACCCTAAATCCTTGTTGATGCGCGCTGCAGCGCACACCCATGGGCTGCAGCGCGTCTTTCTCGAATTTGGAGAGTTGTGCACATTCGGGAGGTGATATAAAAGGAAAAGAAAGTTGCTGGAAGTGGGGACGGGACAGAGAGTGAGAGTTGGACACAGACACGGAAAATTGAACGAGAGACACGGCATAGAACCAAAGGAAAGCAGCTGTAACCAAGGATTCTTCTGGAGATTTTCAAGGGGATTCAAGGCAGTTTGAAGGCTATTGGAGGAGATTATCCAACAGGAGTTTTTCATTACTTTCTCCCTTTGTATTTCTTGAATTGTTATTTAATTTTCTGCTTGAACTATGGGTCTTTGGTATATTGTAATTGTGTATTTGATTTTGAGCATGGATAGCTAAACTCCTCACGCTAGGGGGCGTTTGATCTAATTTAATGAAAGTTGTATTTTAAAAATCTGTTTGCTTATTGAATGTTTTATATTCTAATCTTTTGTGTCTCTTGTGCTTTATTTCTAATTTAATTACCCATTAGATTAGGAACCTTAGATGTATGAAATTAGGCTCGGGAGAGTTAATTAGATACGTTGAGAATTAAGAGACGCAACCTAAGGAGATATTGAGTTGGGAGGCTAGTATAACCTTAGGAAATCAAATATGGGCTAAACTTAATGAATGCATAATTAGTTAAATTAATAGGGATATTAGTTTAATTAATTTAGTATATTATTTCACTTAGCCCTCGGGAGAGGGAGTGAGATTATCTTAGTACCCATGATTTAAGATTAGATGTAACACATCAATAAGTGACAGATTTAGATAAATATAGCATAATTAGGTGAAGTCAAATCCCCTCCTAGCTCATTTTATCACAAAGATCCCTTCAATCCAATTCACTTTGGCATCCGTTGTTTGCATATTTTAGTTAGTTAAGTTGTTCAATTTAGTTTTAATTTCCTTATTCTATATTGTCTAGATAAAATTGGTTTACATTAATAGAAATACTCAGCTCTTTCTTAGTTAACAATCCCAGAGGATGATACTCGATCTTCGGATCATTATTACTTCGCGATTCATACACTTGTGAGCACACACTAAATTCTAAGCAAAAGTATAATTTTCGCGTATCAGAGTGAAAAAAGGTTTGAAGCTGGATAAATCTAATAAAAGGAATTGAATCAACAAAAGTTGTATGATGGTTTCCTAGCGGATATCAAATTTATAAACCTTGCTAAGATATAATCGTTGGTGAGTATAATAGTTGTGCAAGAATCGTTCCCATAAAGGATTGGATTTAATTAATAAGTTATTAATTTTTTGAAACAAAAATGTAAATTAGAAGAGATTTTAAATAATAAACTATACTAAATAAAATAAACGAAAATAAGACCTAAAATAAATAAAAGAAACAATCAATGAAAGAAAACTGGTTAAAAGATTAATCTCCACAACTAAATAATGGAGTGATAATGAATATGCAATATTTTCTCCAATTTCCAATCAAAACTAATAACAGTAAATAGCAATAGGCTCGTCTACCCCAATCTTTTCTTAGTTTGTCGTTAAGCGAAAGAAGCTCTTCATTTAATCTCTTTCCCTCAAATTTCTCAAAACAAGCTCTCAAGATTCAATCTAAAGGAAGCATTATGATGAGAAAGATAGATTGATCTAGATAGCAATTACACAAGCTCGGATCATTCAATCTAGGTTATGTTCTTCATGTAATTATATGAAAGCTTGTCCATAATCAATATTCACAATTGCTACTCATGATCAAGACTTCTAATCTAGTAATAGAATATTATCAAGTCCTATTCAATTAGCAACCCAAATACAACAAGAAAATAATCATGAACAATATTAATGGAAGAACATAAGAAATCTCAATAGAAAACTAGAAAATAGCGTCATAATATGCAATCATAAATCCGTGTCTAGGATTTTGAAATCACCCTCAACCCAAAAAAAAACCTAACCAAATATAATGGAAAATAAAATAAAACGTAATAAAAATAAAGAGAGAAGGAAAGAAGAACTAGAATAACCTTCTGGAATGTCCACTTTTCTTCTTCTTCATCATCTCTTGACGGCTGGAAAGTAATGGAGAAAAGCTTTCCAATTTAATCCCAAAGTCCCCAATTTATAGATTTCTAAGTTTGGGTCAAATAGGGTTAATTTTAGGGTCAAATTAAAGTTTCTTAGTCTCCAAGTCGCAATTTCAGCGTCAAAACATGGATCAGTGCTGAGGACTAAGCGGAAGCACAACACTTGCTGGCCTCATGACGCAGGCAGGCTCCTAAGTGGCGCAGGCGGGCTCCTAAGTAGCGCAGGCGGGCAACAGTCTTTGGTCAATATTGTGATTTTTCCTCCGTTTTGTGCTATTTTGATCGCCAAATCATTCTTTGACCTCAAAAACACTTAGAAAGCATAGAAACACAAATTAAAACATAAAATACTCAATAACAAAGAAAGAAAATATGGGAAATTAAAACAAAAAATCTATCCTTCCAACCGTTTATCAGAGAACAATAAGATATGACAACTTCAAAGTCAAGCAAAAGTTAAGTAAAGTCAATCAGTTATACAAAAGCTAATACATCCTCAACAATAATACTCAATTTTGTGTGAGAAATATGGCCAATGTTACTGGCAATGAAACTACACATACTTCAGGAAAAATAAACCCTTATAACCTTCAGAGAAACAATCACCCAAGGTCAGTTGAAAAGGAGCAAACATCATAGGCTCTCACTTCGGTCCGAATCTCCACTATGCAAAGGCACCACCTGAAATCAAAAAGTCTTCGATACGGGTTGCCACGGCGTAGTGGTTAAGAGAAATGACGGGAATAGGATGTAGCAAAGGCTCTAAAAATTTCATGTAGTAAGAGAGATTGAAAAATTTTGAAGAAATCACTCTCAAAACCCCACATAAAAACTTGGACTAAATATCAGTGTTGGGCTCTTCTTTCAATATTACGATTTTTCCTCTGCTTTGTGCTATTTTGAGCTCCAATCATTCTTTGAACTCAGAAACACCTAGAAAACATAAAAATAAAAATAAAAACATAAAATACTTAAGCACAAAACAAGAAAATATGCAAAAATTAAGTGGAAAATATATGAAATTATGTACTTATCATTGTAGTAAGTGTGAATACTATGTTGGATCTGAAGGAAGCTTACCCTGGCTCACAACCCTTACTTCTGGTCATCAATACTACGTTCATACTTTATTCATATCTTAACTTCCATTGCTTTAAAACTATAAATTTCTAACTTCAGGCAAAATTTTTTTTTCCTCTAATGGTAAAATAAATACTAATATATTTATTGGATTTAAACTTTGATCAGTATTAAAACATTATTGGTTTCTATCGAACTTACAAGGCGATCCACGACACGCTTCATAAAGGTCAGTGAGTGTCTACGAGTGTTTCGACTTCACCGTTTACTTATCAATCGTGACTGGGAGGCGACACGTGGTATCTGGCTTTCTCTGTTCATGCCTTGCCTCATATATGTAAAAGAAATATCCTCACTGTCATTGAAACTTGGTGATCCTCTTTCAATGTCAATGGGGCTGCCGGAGCAATGTTGAGGGGGATGAGGCGAACTGTTTGGCGTATCCTCCTGGCCATACTCAAATGCCCAATCGCCCGTGAATTGGCCAACGCACAATAATACAACTCGTAATCCAACAAGGGCTTCCTCCTTGCCCTTTCAACCTCAAGA